AAATAAAGTTAACATGGCTAAGTTTTAATAAATTCTTTTCTCGCACCTCAGACAAGGATATCCCACGTAATACCCCATCTTAGATTTTTCTGTCTTGTACCCTTACGTGCCTTTTCGCGGATTTTTTACGTATCGATTCATTCATCTGATTGTAGAAATGTATATATATAGAAATCGGTTCAAAATTTACTATCTTCTTTATATTATCTGTTTTGTGTATTTTGTTGATGTTGTTAAGATTCCTGATGTTGTAGATGAAATAATATCTTCACCGTAAAATGTGTTGTAGTTTTTTTTAAGTGCGGCCTACATTGTTTACACGGCACTATCCAAACGTTGTTTCAAAGTGAAGAGGCTGTGTGGGTAGTTTGAGGCTCCCACGGGATATGCCAAACTCTGATGAAATATTGAATAATTTTCAGAGAAGTAGGTCTGAGAGAAAAAAAAATTATTACCTGTAACTGTTACAGGATGTTAGCCCTCGACTGGGATACCCCGATCTCGCTCGCAGGTTATAGATTTTACTAATAGTTCGAAAATTCTAATTAAAGAAATCTTATTCTCGTTTGTGTCAAATACTCTTTCGAGCATTACATGAATAAAGGATTTCAACCGTGCAAGAGTTTGCATGTGCTTGCAAATTCAGGGAAAGTAAAAAGATGAATATCATTCAGATGGACTTTAAGCAAATTTAATCGTTTTTGGAAATGGTAACTGAGGAAAACTAAGTACACGTCTCTAATGTTCAAGGTATGCTGACAGCTGATCTACAGGGATTGAAAGTCAGAATTGTTTACTTACATGCTGTCATGACCGTTCGGCGGTTACATCCACATAACATGACCGTTGATATGCTTAGATGATAAATATTTGTACTTAAATTCCAAAAATAGAAGATTATTTTCATTCTTCTCATTTTTATTTTATCGGCCTTCAAATTTGTCATGTGTTTTCACCTTCATTTTTGTGCGATGTATCTACTCAGAAAAGAAATTCAGGTTTCAAAATGTAGGCCCATAACAGCATTTAATTCATTATCTGGTGATTGTAGGTGCTTGGCACTGCCGATGGAATTTTAGTCCCCGAGGTTTGCGGTAATCCTCATGCCATTTTAATTCATTTGAATAGCTGACAGCCCAATGATTAAATATGACCATATACAAATTAGAGTGTAGTTTTGGAGTAATCATATCGCAATAATGGCTAGATTGTTGCCTACGAATAGTCAAACTATCATTCTGATTTGTCTTTTCTGTCATTATGATAAATGGCATTTAGAACAAATGATCTCTGGGTACATAACATGCATTCACATTGGCATGGTCACTAAAATGCTTTTTTTTAAAAACGTACATAAATTCAATTTTAGACATATTTGTATGTCATCGCAAACACCCGATCTGGACTACAAAGACCTGTAGCATTGAAAGATAAAGAAAAACATATATTTAGACGGATATATTGAATCATTATTCTAACTCGTAATCGAAACAAGGGTAAGATATGAAATAAGAAAATGTTTACAATCAGAAAAAGTAGAAAGGGTTACATTTTCATGAAGGTGGGCGTTTCCACGATCCTTTTTAATCAAGGCCAGATCAAAGTTATGTCACGTTTTCACATTATGAAAAGTGTTGATAACAGCAAAATAGTTAGGCATACTCACATAGCTGATAACGATCTTCATATCGCCGTTTATGCGTTACATGAAGGAATTCGTCCTTCTAGTGAGAGTACAGAGACTTTCTGAATACTCGTTCACGTCTTACAGCCTGATATATGACTACCAACTTCAAAGATCAGATACAGGGTCGAAACAACCTGGTAGTCCGTGTTTATGAAGGAATTAAAAAAAAATGATAACATGCAGAGAGTGCTGATGCACTGTGAAACATTGCTGGCGGGATCAGTTTAAGGTGGAAGGGAAGTAACTCGAATAATTTGAAATACTTTTACTGTTAACTCCAGTGTTAATGGGAAGGGAATCTTGCAATCCGATTAGAAAGCGCGGCTCCCAGCAGTGTTTTTTTTTTTTTTTATGTTTGAAAAAAATCTATATCTAGTTATTTTAGACAACGAGAACTATATTCAAAATAATAACCTGGTAGCTTAATATTTAGACCCTTATGTCTGAGTTTTATCTTTTCCAGAAAATGGTTTTGTTGAATTCGACGAATTTGTAGTGTTGATGCGGAGATGGCATCAAAACACGGAAGCAGATGGCGCTACAGCATCGTCTTCCGTTTCTTCAATAAGCAACGAGAAACAATTGGAGGCATTCAAAGTGTTTGATATGGATGGAAATGGTTTCATAGATAAACATGAACTTCGATACACTATGCGAAGGTTGGGAGAAAATTTATCAGAAGAAGATATCAAAGAGATGTTTAAAGAAGCTGATCTAAATGGTGATGGAATGATCGATTTCAATGGTAAACATATTTATTCAGCTATTTATAAATCACACACACAATTACATATCACACCTGTTATCGCTACTATTGTTAGTTATATTGCCGTTTATTTAATCAACGCTGTAGTATATTCAACGCGTATCTTAATAGTTTTACGTATTTACTAACCCGTATCTTTTAATATAGGATCATCATTTTTATTCAGCTTCTTCACAATTGCCAAATCATATTGCGATAGACACGAGGACAATACATTCCATTACCATTTTTCATATTCACTATTATTTCATATTACCATAAATCAATATATTAGTATTAAGCGCTGACTTTAATCTGATAGTACACAGATTTGGTTTTGAATATGTAAATGACTATATTTTTTTCATGTTTCAGAATTTACGAGACTGCTCCATCACTTAGTACCGGAACCTGAATAGACCGGACGTTTCTTCCATATTATATATATTTAATAACGATGTCACGAATTCCCTTGTTTCTTCCTTGTTTTTGTAACCATGCAGATTTCTCTTTTTTCAAACTTTGTCTCATTTTTAAAAAAGGAATTTGAAAGTTTATTATGTGATCAATAGACCGGAACAGGAAGTTGACATTTAACTCCGGCAAAAACAACGAGGGGCAAGAGTTAAGGGGGTATGTGTAATATCTAAGAGATATAAACAATCTATACGTATCTTTTGGAACACACGGAAGCGGGAAATTAAGATATGTTGTCACGTGGTGAAGGAAACATGTAAGTTGCTAAGATCTGCATAACATGGCAAAAAAAAAAAAAAAATTAAAAAAAAAAAAAAAAACAAACCCGGTCTTGGAATCGCTGAGCTCCACAAGTTTTACCCATCGAAGATTGTTTGTTTGACAACGTTATGTTAAAATATTTTCGCAATGACATAAATAGCAGAATGCGAAGAGCTGTACCTGACAGAGAAATGATTTAAAAGTTTACTTTACACGCGGAGCTAACGGAAAAAATACCATATAATTTCGGTCTGTGACCGCAGACAGTGGCTATTATTTTTGAAAGATACTATTCCCTTGATGCATGGATGTTTACACTAGTATCAAAGAGGAGGTCTCTGGAAACGCTCCATTTTATGTGTATTTGCAAATAAGGAAATGCAAGTGTGTATCGAAAACAATGACTACACCATGGCGACATTCTGAAAAATAGCCAGTGTGATCGGGGATGATGCTGATTGTGAATGAGAAATTTTATCAGCCTGAAACCTCTTCTGCAGTTTGTCACAATTACAAATGAACGAAGAAGAGAGTGATGAAGCAAAGTAAAATAGGTACAGAGAGAATGAGAATATTTATCTCAGAAAAACGTTGGATATTAACGTTTAGAAACTACATGATAACTTGCTTGAGTCACATTAAAACGCTATATTTAAACGGAATCAAATTACAGTTCTACGTGAAGTCTTTACATATCACGCAATACATAGTTGTCTTCATGCTTTGGTTCGAAAAATGTTTGCAATGGTAAAATTCTTAGTCGTTAAATAATACAAATTTGTAGAAAGCTATATTTGGATTATTGGAAATACACTTTATTTGCTACGGAACAAGGGTTACTTGTTCAAGGTGAAATCTGTAAACCTGTCAAATCCGAAACCTCAATCATTTGGAATATTCTCATATTATACACATCGCTGAAAATCGAAATGACATCAGCTAAAATTAATTTGTTTGGGTATTTTAACTAGTGTGACAAATTCATTTTTACGTAGAAATATTTTCATGTGCAAAATTCCTCAAAGAATGAAAAAAGGCATAGCTTGATAACAATGGCATAGATTAGGCTAAACTTTTTGAAGATCATTATTTGCAAATCTCGTATTTGCCAACTAAATGATCTTCCCCTAGAGCTGAAATTCCCGACATCACTTTCAAGGGGAAAAAATATAAATTAGATTCCAAATACAAATAAAGGCATATTCATCATCTCCCTCACAAAAAAGGGAAAAAATACTTGTGAAGAGTTGGAAGGAAAAGTTAAAGTTTTTACATGTCAAAATGATGCAAAATATCACTCTGATGAACGATGTGTGGAATCAAGGGCAGATAATCCATATGTTGATATACAAAGGCGTTTATATGGACAGTGTTTCGGAATTTGAATTGTGATACGTTTACCTCTATAAATACTCATTATTTTTCCTTATTTGTATCTTATTTCCCAAATTAAGGTCTATTTCGTTGGACAATATAACATTCCAAGCAAAGAGTATTACAGGTCGATGTATTATGAGCCTATCTAATCTAGTTCTTGTAATCTCCCTTTTTATTACAATTTTCCTGTTGTATAAGTGAGTTTCATATTTCGAGTTATGTCCCTTAGTTTTATCTATTTGCAGACATTTTACATTGCTGCGATATACTCTAAAGTTTGAAGGAATGTTTTGTCTTGTTTGTGTTTGCTTGTGGTGATTAAATTTGCGTAGACATTTATCAAATAGTATTTTCATTGGCTTGAAGCTACAGGCGATGCATGGACTGTTACTGCAGTGTACAGGCAGAACATTAGTCAAAAACCTGACTAAATCATCATCTGTTTTCGCAATTTGTTGCTTGTTTAAGGAAGTCGAATTGCATTTCATTGTTTTTGTTCATAAGCGTTGTTATAAAGAGGTATGTGCTTCTGATCGGTGCTCTTACAGACATGTAGTTACACTTGTCTACACTGAAGTGGAAGCACAAATATCTGATCAGAACCTATGACAACAAACGTCGGTTAAGAGAAATAATTATAGTTTAAAAGGAATACCTTTTACGTAAATTTAACATCCACATATGCATTTTTTGTGTCGATGATAACGGTGTAGACAGGTGTTACTATGATCTGTGATAAAATGTTTAGATTTGTATCATCAGATATTTTCTTGTGATAGAGTATAGCCCGAGAAAAATCGTTGGTAATTTTCATGTTTTGTTTTAAAACTTTAAATGGATTCAAGCTTTTGAGGACTGTCGATGTATAAATTTTAATGTTATATATTTTACCGCATTGATATTGTCTTTAGGCTACACGGCGATAACATGAATGAAACACTTACATTTATCAATTCTCAACAGTACTAAAAGGAAGATGGCATAGCTGACATATAATTACTGACATCCAGAGCGATCTTAGTACAATTTTTAAATGATTTTAGTTAATGAAGATTTTATTCAAATAATATTCATTCTTTAGTTAAAGTAAAACTACATCTGTACGACTTCTGATTTGGTCATTTGAAATAATTAAGGAAATAAATTCAAATATCCAAATCACCGACTTAAATCAGAATTTAACGAATTTCATTGATTTTACCGTTATCTATCTATAAATACTAGATATATTTACACGATAATGTATTTCTACGTCATTCGTTTAATTGTCTTATTTCAATATTTAATGTTGTAACCTTACTAATATCAACTTTTCTTCAACGAAAGTCAATTTGATATATATTATCCACGCGAATCATTCAGTTAACAGCTGTTTAAGAGTATTGGGTTACAGATAAAACAGATAGTACATAAAACGGAACTGATGTATCTTCATGGTTTATACTTTAATTATACATTAATTAAAAACAGCATTAATTCATTACATAACATTGTTGTTATTAATGACCTAAAATATTCGGTTTGATCGTGTCCGGATTCAAATGTATGAACATATGATGCTGTTTAATCATTAATGAAAGGATGTTTCTTTCAAACAAAAAGACAAAAGCTGGCAACTTTCTTTCTTTCTTGTTTTCAAATTGTATCGTCTTCAAAACAGTTGTGAAGGGAATTCGTCTTTTTTCGTTTCATAAAAATAGCAAAATGATTAAGTTGGACTTTTATCATAAAAAATGAAAATCGGAAACCACAAATTCAAAATGTTGAAAAGTTACCTTATAAATCTATTATCACAACCGTTAGTTTTGCTTTGGTTACTCATAATAACAATATGTTTACGAAAGGTTAATTAAAAAGAAATAAAAAAGTTGTTTATGCTAATCTAGAATACATGTATACATTTGGCCAGTATTTCATACAGATGCTATGCTCTACTCCATATTTACTTCTAGTCATCAAATGTAAACACAGTCAAACTTCGTTAACTCGAAGTCAACGAAAATGGGGAAAATAACTCGAGCTTTCATAATTCGATTTAACGAAGTTTGCTTGTAGCGTTGTAGACGATAGATAATATGCGCTTAAATTTAGGACATTGTTGATAGTTGGACGGTGTTAAAATTACGAAGTATTGAATTTAAGTGGGTTTTATGATATGGACATGATCTGAGTAAGCTCTATTAGTTTGTCTTAGTATATCGTTTACTCTGAATATTTATTGATAAATCATATGCATGTTATAGAGATTGCGTGGTTCTGCGCATGCGTATTACAGATGTTCGATACATTGTTAAGAAAAACTTCGATGTATTCTATTCGTTGTTGAACCTAGTAGCACATTTTATTTTCATATGTAAATAGTTGTTTGTACAAATTAAACTTGTATATAGATTTCCTACCTTGATTAAACTGTTGTTTAATGATCTTATTACAAACCTGTGTTGTGTTTTATGTTGAAATAAATGTTGAAATGAGTGACAGATGATAACAATTATATTACGAAACAACATCAGCTACCTGAACTGTCTAATAGATTATGCTGATATTCTATACATTACCGAAACCAATTCTGACGATTCTGTTGCAAACGCCGAAATTATGATAGGTGGCTTTTCTGATCCTTTTCAAAAAGGCAGAAATATGTTTGGTGGCGTTGTTGCTATGTATATTTCTCTTGTTGCTGAGCTGAGAACTGGCCTGGAATTTGGGAATGTTGAAATGATATGGTCACAAATCAAACCAAATGCTCTTTATTCGGTAATTTATACAATTTACAATTAGATAAATGTGATTACTGAACCAACTAGACAAACTGCTACTTCCTCCACACTTGTAGGTCCTATGATACTGTTGATGTAATGTTGTCCAGATTGAGCGAAATGTTATCGACCATGATGCTTCATTTATCATCAGAAACATTACTACTCCTGTTTTGCCTATTTTTAAAACCCTAGCAGAACCTCTAATTACAGACAAAAATCACTTCTTCGCTTTTTAGTTAAAGTATTTGAACGTGTGGTCTATAAATATATATACAATTTCTTAACTGAAAATATCTTATTTACAAATACCAGGCATGATTCCTATATGGGCACTCTACTACCCATTAGCTTATCGAGATGTATCACTCATTAATTTCTTCTCTAGAAAATAATGAATATTCTATTCTTATATTTTGTGACTTCTCTATGACATTTGTCCGAGTATGGCACAAAGATCTTATCAATAATCTGAATAAGTATGGTACATAAGGACCACTTCTCCAATGACTAGGTGATTATTTTTCTTACAGGAAGCAAGCAGT